CAGGTGGAGGTGGTGACTTATAGTAATAAGGTGGCGGAGGTGATTTTACGGGTGGAGGCGGTGATTTGTAGTAATATGGGGGAGGAGGAGATTTTACAGGTGGAGGTGGTGATTTATAGTAATAAGGTGGCGGAGGTGATTTTACGGGTGGAGGTGGTGATTTGTAGTAATATGGGGGAGGAGGGGATTTTGTAGGTGGAGGAGGTGACTTATAGTAATAAGGAGGAGGAGGGGAGGGTGATGGAGGTGGAGGTGACTTGTAATAGTATGGAGGGGGAGGGGATTTTGCAGGTGGAGGTGGTGATTTGTAGTGGTAAGGAGGTGGAGGAGATGGGGATGGTGGTGGTGGGGATTTGTAGTAATACGGGGGAGGAGGGGAAGGTGATGGAGGCGGAGGAGACTTATAATAGTATGGAGGAGGAGGTGACTTTACTGGAGGAGGTGGTGATTTGTAGTAGTAAGGCGGAGGGGGTGATGGTGATGGTGGAGGTGGGGACTTGTAGTAGTATGGAGGAGGTGGTGATGGTGAGGGTGGAGGGGGTGATTTATAATAGTATGGAGGGGGAGGTGATGGAGATGGAGGAGGAGGAGACTTGTAATGATAAGGAGGAGGGGGTGAAGGTGATGGTGGAGGTGGTGATTTGTAGTAATAAGGTGGAGGTGGGGATGGAGATGGTGGTGGAGGAGACCTGTAGTGGTACGGCGATGGCGGTGGGGGTGACTTATAGTAGTATGGTGGTGGTGGAGGATAAAGCGGAGGTGGAGAAGAATAGGAGTAAGGCTCCGCCGCAACGCAGGTGGCTACCAAGCAAACTGCCAAGGCAGAAAGTAGGCTAGGCCATGGCCGCCCCATGTCAGGCAACTTGAAATAGCCACGGGGCCAATAACCACCACAGCTCCCCAATTCAGGGAGAGAGATGAAACTGATGAACTCCTGTTGTAGAGGGAAGATGGAAGGACTACTTTCTGATGACTTGAAACGGGATGGTAGCCCCTTTATATAGTGATCCTTTGAACTGTACAAACAAGTAGATGCATTTGTTTAGTGAAAAATAAGAAGTTTGAAGTCTGAAGTCTTCTTATAATATTATAATCTAAAATCTCCAATCTCCAATCTCCATTGCATTGAATAGCTTGATGTAGCTATGCCACCCTCCACAAATTCATTTGTCATTTTCACCTCTCTTGTGCCAATGAACAAAGTCAAGAAGGATATATATGTTCAAACTACTAGGTTTTGGTAGGTATGAGTAGGGCTAAGTCTTATTATTTTTTTTTTCCCTCTTTAACCGCGTATATTGTGACTGTATCTCGCTCTACAGAGTACGGAAAATGTCTTTTGCTTGACACCCTCTGAAGATTGAAAGTATAATTGGTATTGGTAGATGCCATTGACCGAATAAGGTTAGTGGGCTCCATCTTAAAGGCCTGATCTGATGCCATCAAATTAGGAGCACTGGACCACGTTGAGTAGTTGGCTTCTTAAATGAATGAATGGCGTTTGTGTTATAATTATCATTATATAAATGATAATAGATCAATTCAAATATCCAGTTAAACATTATATTTGTTATGAGTTTTTATTATATGAACGAATGAATGAATCAATGATTGAATGTGAGAGAGAGATTTGTTAAATGTGGATGTGGATTGATCATTTGGCATGGCTTCGATTATATGGAGGTGTGGGATCAAATTCGTACAAGTGAAAGCTCTCATTGGCAAGGTCAGTGAACTTTAGGGAATTAGGCTCAGTTTTGAAAGAGTATAAATGTAAATATGTACAGCATAAATAAATGTAAAATAATATAAAATATAAGGTTTTGTACTCTATGTTTTGCATTTGTACTCCTTCCAAATTCAGCCTTAGGGGCAAATGTTAGTATCGATTTGAGATTTTACATTGCATTGAGCTTGGATTTTTTTGAATCCGCTCAAATTTTGACAAAATCTCAACCCGAAACCCAAGCACTCCTAGTGGACCTCACGTACACCCTGTTTGGACCCCTTAATCCCATTTTATTCAGTAATACGTAACACTTGAAAAAATATAATAAAAGAAAGAAAAAGAAAAGAAAAAAATAATGGGCCCTTATCATTAGAAATGACGTTGAAGTTTACTTGGGTAAAATTATTTTTATTTAAGTGGCAAGTCCCTAGTAAAAAGACAATGAAACAGTTGATTATTAAGATAAAAATCAAAATATAATTAATGAGGGTGTTTCTGTCTTTCCATCATGCGTGAGCGGGGGTGTGACTTTTTTATAATATATATATATATATATATATATATATATATAGATAGATAGATAGATAGATAGATAGTTAGATGTGAGAAAATCAAACCCGTAAAATAAAATAAATTTTGCAGAGCACATCTAAGACTTTGTCTCCGTGTAGAAATGTCGCCAAAATGGCTTTTAACGCCATTTAAAGACAAAATTCAACCAAGTTGAGAAGTTCTGTAAAAAAATTAAAGAAAAAAGAGTTGAGAGGGAAAAAATGAGTTGATTGGAAGATAGAAATAAATAAAAAAAAATATTGTTAGAAAACTACGAGTTTGACATGAACAAATACTGGTTAGACTATTGATCATCATCATCCATGCCTTATCCCAGTTATACGGAATTTGATTGGAGTATCCGATCAATTTATATCCTTCGTAATCATGTCCATTATAGCTAGAGTGAGGCATGTTCACCATCTTTTATGGGCTAGAAAAATTATCAACCATAGATGTGTTCGGACTCCTGCCCACCATCTTTTAGAGGACATCACTTGGTATGACGTAAATCCCAGGGTCTCAAAAAACAAAAATGACAAGATTAAGTTGAATTTTTTCAATGGGCCTGGCCCAATAACCTGGGCCTTATTCTGTTCAAACTTTTCTAATCAGATATCCAACTTACCCCCAAGTCTATATCGGTCCACCCCCATGACCCCAAATAACTGCGACCAATATTAGTTAACAGTTAATAGCCAAACAGCGCCAATTTGCTCAATTGGTAAGGTCCTGGTTGGTTGTAACAGAGATTTTTGGATCAAATCCTGTGGTCATTAGAATTGGAGATGGGTAGGATTTCAATTTGGGTTGGCCCAATTAGCATTAGCATTTTACACTGTTGGGCTCAGGCCATTGAGCCAAATAAATTTTCTTAAATCCCAACCCAAGTTGCACCAAAAGAGCTTTAACCAATCAAAATCTCCTGTGTATTTTGATAAATACCACTTTTTGTTTGTATTGATTACTCTTCTTTGCCCCAATAAGGGCCGTAATTTTTCATGGCATAGTACAACAATTTTTAATTAGCAATATTAATAAATCTTCTCAAAGGTGGTATGAGAGTCAATAGTAGGAATGCGGGACTCGAAGCAGTTCATTGATTACCATTTTATGATACCAGTTGATAGGATATAAGTTTTCCGATATAATGTCTTTCTCATTGTGGAATCCATAAGTTTATTAACCAGCGTTGAGCGTGACAGGCTGGGTTTGGTTTAGGGCCAATTGGAGCCCAAACCCAATCAACATCAAGCCCAAGAGGGCCCATCCCCTAGGTGCTAAATATCAGTTCAAGGACATCTCGGATTGAAGAAGACTCATGAATCATGACCAGTTCTGTTGGCTTTTAGTGCTTTAGATCGGTATTGGCATATATAGAACTCCGTCACATATATAGTAGGCCTCATGGTTTTCTGGGCAGGTTCAAGTGCAAACAGTATATAAGGAGTTCAGCTTTGCTATTAACAACCGCTCACAACACTATCTCAACTAGCTATGACAGTCACACATCGTGAACATCTCTCCATGAATGACAAAGGAGACGCTCTCATGTATATAAGTTCACATCTGCTTGCCCATGCACATCTCATCAGCGTGCATTGGGAACATCTCCCATATTTGTTACTGGGACTCTGGGAGATGTTCCTTGGGATGTGCTCTGTGATGCGCATATGTGAATTCTATGTATATAACCCACTAATCGGAGCCTATCCAGGTGTCCTTTTTGGACTAAAATTATATCTTGAGGCTCCTTTACCATGGAACGTAGGTAGCTTCTGTGAGCTTTGGTGAAAAGGCCAGAATACGTCCATGCATGGTTTTCAAAATAGGACTAGACCGGATGGTCAAATCGGAAAAATTGGGAATCAGTCATTTGGCTGGTTCCGTTTTACCTCAAAATCGCTTGTTAGCCAAAAACTGTTGATTTGGTCCGTAAACTGCTGACCTGGATAGTTGAGCCATCGATCTGGACAATATTTTTTAGTCGTTTTTTAAATTTTATTTTATTTTTCTGTCAAAGAGTACCATCCGTTCGGACTGAACGGTTAGACCGTTTGACTTAGGAACCGGACCCAGAATGGCTCCATATTCAGTTTGATTTTAAAAACCTTGCGTCCATGTTTGCAAGTAGCCCTTTAGATTACAGCTGAAATTGCTGAACTGGATGATTTATTTATCTGCCTTTTAGTAGATAAAATAATTAAACAATAACAACTCAAACATARAATACTCTCACCCAATTATAGCTTCAGCCAGAGCTCACAACCTCCTTACAACTTTTTCACTAAAAGACAAAATAATCTTTTCAATTCAGCTATTTCAGCTGTTATGAATAAGGAGGAAATTTTCCAATCCAATTCAGCAATAATCTCACCCCATACGCTAATCCTGAATCTCTACATGTATTGTTAAATCCCCTTATTGCTGAAATTTTCCAATCCAACAGTTGGTTTTATTTCTGTCTCAATAAGGAGGAAGTTGACGAATGTCAAAACGACCCATATGAAAATTCAAAGGCAATTTTACCAAGCCTTGCAAGCCCCCCCTGCCTGGGCCTGTGCACACGATTAGTTGTGTACGACCAAATGTCTGTTTGGCAAAAGTGGATTTTTATTAACAAAAATTTAGTGCATTGATTATATGCCTAATATACCGAATTGTGTACAGAAAAAAGACAACATAAACATTACTCCAAACCGACCGTGCTGTCTATGAGGTTTGCCTCCTCGGGAGTGGCAGCGCTGTCGTTCAGAGTGGGCTGCATTGCCGGTAGCACCTCGGCGTCAAAGGGGCGTCAAAGGGACCGTACTCCTCCACGACCTTGCAGCGAGCGAAGCTTGTCTGTTAGAACTCAGAAGTATAACCATCCCAACAATCCCTCTTGAGACTTTCTTTAGCCTTCTTTCTTTTTTTTTTTCACTTCAATCAAAAAGTAGCATCCTATATCTCATGGTTTTTAAAATCGATCCAGAGACCAAATCAATCAGGGGTCCGGTTATCAGGTCGAATGATCCGACCGTTCGAACTGAATGCTTGGCCTGTTTTAACATAAAATAAAATTAAAAAAAATGTAAACAAATTTAAAAATAAAAATAAAAAATGGTCAAAACTGTTCGAACGATTAACTATCCGGTTCAGCGGTTCACTGACCAAAACCAATGGTTTTGAGAGAAAATTCGGTTTTGGGGGAAAACGGAACCGGTCAGGTCAGGCGACCGGTTCCCGATTTTCCGGTCCGGTCCGGTTTTAAAAACCATGCTATATCTAACCAAATATATGTTTTAACTTTCTTTACATGCAAATATAAATATATTTTTAGAATTTTGGATAGATAAATGCAAGTTGAATTTTAAAAGAACAAAATTCTAATTCCAATTCTAACGAGTTTTTTACTTTTGAAAAACCCAAATTTTTCTATGACTAGAAAGCTCACATTTAATGTATGTGCAAATATATTAACGGTACTCCAATCTCCACCCTTCCTATCACAAAAACTAATGTCGACTAGACTGGTCGATCCACTAAAATGTTCTTGATGTCGACTTCTGAATCCTTGTATCTAAGAAATTGCATCTCTAGTGGTGTTTTATGACAACATGCTTGAAGTAATGCCTTGGATTTTGTAGGGTTCGAGGAGAGAGAGAGAGGGGTAAATGTTTGGATCATGTTTGAGTAAAGAATTTAATATGCATGACTTCATTCATCTTTTGTCTTTTTGTTTTGTGGATTAGTTTGTTGTATTTGGAGAAGCCTTTTCTACCAAAACTTACGGTTGTGTATTAACGGCTGGGAAAGCCAATTTTATTTAGAGCATATTCCTTCAAATCGATTCAATTAAGGTGTCTTTAACAAATAATTTAACCAAACAAGTTTGTTTCAAATATGATTTTATTTCAGAAATATACCATCTACAAAGGATTCAACTTTAACAATATGTTACAATGAAAGAGGTCGTATAGCCAATTCAATGAATCATGGAAACCTCTACCAAATCACTATGTCTGCAATTGCTGAGTTTGAACTATTTGGCTTTCAGCTCATCCTTCTCTCAAAGATCATGCCAAGTATATGCAATATCTCCAGAGTAAAAGAAAAGTAGAACTCTCCATGTATGAAAGTACACTTATTTTCATCTCAACCTTTGATACTAAATCAATTTAATGGATAAAAAGCTCCGAAGACCATGAAGAATTTATTGGAAAAACCATTATTCTCTCATAGTTTTATGTTCTGCAATAGAAATACAACATTGATCAGAAAACAATAAGAAAAAAAGGGAAGACAATTATGAGTTGTCTATAAATGATATACTTACATGAATTAAATAAGGATAATAATAATTCTAATAGACTGGGGGTGGTGGAGGGGAGCTGTAGTAGTAAACATGAGGAGGAGGTGGTGGTGGTGATTTGTAGTAATATGGAGGTGGTGGAGATGGCGATGGGGGAGGTGGGGACTTATAATAGTATGGAGGCGGGGGAGATGGAGATGGAGGAGGTGGGGACTTGTAGTAGTAAGGAGGAGGTGGGGAAGGTGATGGTGGTGGTGGGGATTTGTAGTAGTAGGGAGGAGGAGGTGATGGTGAAGGTGGTGGTGGTGATTTGTAATAGTAAGGAGGAGGAGGTGATGGAGATGGAGGAGGTGGTGACTTATAGTAGTATGGAGGAGGGGGTGAGGGTGATGGTGGTGGTGGTGATTTGTAGTAGTA